CTTTTTCCATATGAACATTCCAGTGGCCAGATTTAGTGACATCCCATCATAACATGAGTCTTCCTGTCATTCAGGTTCATCATTATCTGGTTAATGTGTTTTACTGTGCTACCTTTAAGATGCTCATACACCTTACGATTATCGGACGATTTTCGTATGCGATTCGTCCGATATTCGTAAGGTTGATGGGCAGTGTACAAAACGCAAATACTGTACAATCGATCGACTTGACTATCCAGCAGGTTAGAAAACTTCGGTCGATCGTTCGATTTTCGCAAGGTTGGTGGCGTTTCTGTACGTCAAAATGCATACGATAAACACTGCTCATGCGCAAACAAAAATACGTGCGGTCGGTTACTGCAATTTGTAGAGGTGTTTTTTTTTTTACTACAGCTGACTGAACCTTGGGATAATCGGGGCAGGATGGGGCCGCCGAAAATCGTCTGATGGTTTGATCATCGGACGAAAAAGTTGCGTCCGATGATCGCAAGGTGTATGGGCAGCTTAAGTGTTGCAGACAAGACTTAGGAGACAGTAGAAAGGGAAAAACAAGTCAAGATATACAGAGACACTATTACCTTAAAGTCTTCATGTGGTTTAAAAAGCTTCACCTTGCTAGTGCCCACCCAAGGCGAGATTCATATGTCCCTGTATGGTCAGCCAAAGGTCGGGCACACATGCTTCTACTTTTGCCGTTGGTGAATAACCTGCTGGCTGAAAGAAGGAAATAGAACAGATTCCTCCATCAATGCTGGCAAGCATTGATGGAGGAATCTCCTGCTGTTTCCTTGGTTATCCGTTGTCAGAATACCCCAACAGAGCTGGCATCATAGGTGCAAGTTTACTGAATCACTGCCAGCAGGCAGGTAGTATCTATTTTCAGAGGCAAGATCTAAAGTTTAGTGCTTATTTGTTGCCCCCGCTCTAGGTCAAAGTTTCCCTTGTATGGTTTACACTTTTCACCATCGTTAACAGGTTGGGAAGTTCATCCAGCATAAAGCAATATCTATCAAACAGAGCTCAGAGGGAGCACTGTAACTGCAGGGAATTAAACATCTGGGCAACAGCTGTACAGCTCACCAGATGTTCATACAGAGATGTGTGCAGCTCTGACCATGGATCTTCACCTATGCCACAGAGCAGTCACACCTACTGCTGCTCCCATTCTGCAGCTAACCTGTGTGCTGAGTGTTTTAACTATTACATGTATGTTAAAGGAAACCAGCAAAGAAAATGTGCATTCTATCCTGGCTCTTAGACTGATTCAAAGGCTTTAAGACTTGCTGGGCCACTGACCTGGAAGTAGTTACATCAGGACTCCCTTCTTTACCAATGTCACTTGCCATGTGAGGTCAGTGACTCAGTAGGGACAGCAGAGGCAGTCATGCAACAAGCATTTTCAGAAAGCGTATTAACAAATGGCAGCCTCCATATTATAATTGGAAAAGGTTTCCCAAGACAGGTCTCAAGATCCTCCTACCTCTCCAACATTGCAACCTCAGAAAACCTCTTTGGATTTCGACTCTTCCATGAGTGTCAGATACCGGGGTTCCCCGTCTGTGTAATGGTTCTTTACTTCAACCCCTGCTGAATCTTGCACTGACATAGGAGGTCAGAAGGAACCAGTGTGCAGGTGGGGCACACTGGCTTCTCAAACTCCTGAAGAGTTGAATGTCAAACAGACTTTGAGGCTGCAGAACAAGAATGGAGGAGGTGGTTGGAGGAATGTGTTGTTGTAGAGGGGAGAAGGAGAGGAGCATAAAGCTTTGCAATCTTTACAGACCTTGTCTCTTTAATCCTGTAAGTAAACAAAATGTAGTGGAACGCAACAAAAAATACCTACAACACGGTCTTTACAATAACCCCTACTAAGAATTGTAGTGTTCCTTTTACTTTGGATAGTACCTACAGCTAACTAAAACAACAAATACATGTACAAATACATTTCAGCCAACATTCATGGTAAACTCCAAGCAACTGGACACTGGTCTCGCATATTAAGTAGTAAGTCAGGTTAAAAAAAAAGCATCCACAGAACACGAAAAACCACATGTAATCAAATTTGCTCCAACAAGGACAAAATTCCTCCTGTTCTCCAATAGGCAATTTGATACAATATTACTAGCTATTTAAAGTGACACTAAACTCAAGAGTTATATCTTAAAAATGAATCAAGTACCTTTAACTATAAAAAAATGTATCTTATTTGTGTATCACTCGGCTGTAGATCTTCAAATCATCTCTGAATTGGTGCTGACACTGTCCTTTCTTCTGGAGGGGGCTACTTTTGTTCCCCATGGTCCATGTGTGTGTTGTAAAGTAGTAACCGCTCCAAGCTCACTCCCGGGATGGACTGCAATGTCAATACACATTAGAAAAGTAAACGTGAGTCCATCATGGGACTACAAAAATAGCTACTTTACAGAAAGAATGACAATGTCAGCACCAATTCAGAGATGATTTGAATATCTTCAGCCGAGTGATACACAAAGACAAATTTTTGTTATTATTTAAAGTACCTGAATGCATTTAAGATTTAACGGAGTTTAGAGCCACTTGAATTCTGTGCATTTTGAAACCTATCCATCTCCACCAGTAAGCCGGGACAGGCTCCTGTAGAGAGCCATTTTCAGTTATACACGGTGCTCATATGCCTGCTCATTTTAGGCTCCTCTCGCTATACAGCTATACAGTTCCCAAAACAGCTATAACATTATATACTGTATGTGTATAATGTAAAGTATAAATGTTCTTCAGTTTTTTTAGAACATAGTGCATAGGCCCACCTAGGTCACTCTCTGGGTCAGGAGAGCTTACTATCCAACGTCCCTACAAGGCCTGACATGCACACAAGTTCATAGAGATTGAAACAGACATGGACCTGATGGGGTCACTTATTAATGAGTGGACCTTTTTACCATGGAAGCAATGATAGGAAATTTCGGATGTAGCATAGGGGCAGGTAGCTCACATTGGGAAAGCATTGTGTGTCTGATATAATATCATCCCACTGACGCCATCATTGATGCAATAATCAGCCCAGGACGGAATCTGCATTTTTTTGTGTGCAAAAATCAATTTTCCAAATAAAAAAATTAGCTACAGGCATTCTTACAGCTAAACTACACTCGCTCTTGGACAGGAAAGTCAATCTGAAGTTTACTTTACCTGGTGCTGCCATTGCTCTAGACTATTTTACCAACATTGTATTTGTATCATTCATAGAGCACAAATTCCATTTTATGCAAGAGTGTGCAGTTCTTGCCTTTTACACCAGATTCCTCATTGTATTTGTACCAAAAGTGCATCAAAGACCCTTACATTGACTGTTTTACTGCTTATTATATCATAGTGGAGATGCCAGAGGCTAATCCAGAGCCGCTCCATTTGTGCTGAGTAAGGAATATGACATGAAAGTGCCGAGGTCAAAGCCTTCTTTGAGATTAATAAAGGATTCTTTCTTCGGCTCTTTTCACGGATTCTTAGTGTGAAAAAAGACCCAGGATTCCCCTTCCCATGGCTGTAAAGACAGGCAGAAACTGACACTGCTAACAGTATCACCTGACCTCCCAGCCAAAAGAGAGATTAGATAACCAGGTCTCTGTCCTGTCCACCCTCATTCAGATCCACTTAATGTAACACAATAGAAGAGGGTCAAAGCCAAGGAACAGCAGAAACATGAAGCATATAAAGAGGAGACACGTCCACTGTATGAACCAATCAGACTCAAGGTTCAGCCAGGCTAACATATGTTTTTGGCAGTCCGCTTTGCTTAAAGTCCAACTGAAGCCGTTGGAATAGATAGAGAAGTCATATAGACATTGCACTAATAGCTTCCATTTCAATAGTTGTACCTCCACCGCCCTGTTATAGCAATAACGCTGTGGGGCTGCTATCCACTTTCCGCACGGCAACCTGCATTTTACTGCCCATTGGTAAAATGCAGGCTGCAGGGTAGAGCCTGTGGGATCTCACAGAGTTCTCTCTGCTTAATAGTTATATGACTTTAAAAGGGTAGTTAATCTTTATACAAAAAATAGCCTATGCAACCAAGAAGCCCCAGTAGGTGACAAACTAAACAGCTTTTATAAATTTTCATTCATGCATCTGCTATACCTGGTGGGTATTTGTGCCCTCAGCAAAGCTTGTGTGAAAATAATTCCCCAATATTCCGCATAGCTCCGTCCTGTCGCCAGGATGGGCCAGCTGTTGGATGCATCACAGGAGTGAGTGCCGTCCTAGTTTACAGCCCCGTTCATGTGCAGTGTGTTCTCTGCTCTGTCGCAGCCACTGAGCTCAGCTGAGAAAGCAATCGGCACATCTGAACAAGGACGCCGCTTGTATCCAATGGATTGCTCATCCTGGCAACAGGACAGTCTTCAGTGAGGGCACTAATGGCCAACAGATGAAGATTTTTCTACCTGCTGGGGCTTTTTGACTGCATAGGATTTTTTTCTGAACCCTTAAAAAGATCACACTACTGAAGTACCAAAGCAAGTCGACCACAAAACATTTGTAAAGCACATCAATGTGCCTTTTTTTATAGCAGTGGTATGGATGCAATAAGGCCATTCTGCCACTCTAAAAATGGACCTTTGTTATGGCACAGTTCAACTGGCACCAGAGTTTGACCACACTAAAAGAAACGGCAGTAAAGCAAAGCACCCGTTACAACATTTTCTACACCACCCTTGCAGAAAAAAAACCTCATTGGCACCAATTTTTAATTACATATAATTTACCCAGGTCTTACTTGCACCCCAGGCTGCATGGAAATACCAGATGAAGAGGGTTGTAGGAAAAGTCATAAAAGACACACAAAAGGCCTACGGCCACCAACAAGTCCTGTCTAAGTCAAATTAAATTTTAGAAATTGCTCTGTCTAAAAAGAATACATTTGAATCTTCAAACATCATTCCTAGAGGAACTAATAATCCAAAGCCTCTAACCTTACAGGACAGTGTTGGTTTTAGAACAGAAGAGACTAAAGCCATACTCACAAAAGTTGTGCACATCTTGCTGGCCGTGTACGGCAGTTGGACGCTCAGGAGTTGCTTCGTACATCCCCAAAGCCGTGTCCTCGTCTTCCAGCTGGGACTCTTGACTAGATCTCTTTTTACCAGCTAACCAGTGTGAGGGCAACGGAGTGTTGGACACAGAGCTCGACAGCAAAATGCAGACAGCCAGAACAGCCCATAACTTCATCTTAGAAAGACTTCCAAGAAAGGGACCTTCCAAGGGAAAACAGAAGAGAACATGACATGACATTTCAAAGGATTTCAAAGGAATTTTTTTTTTTAACTATTTAAAGTAGGTTTAGGCTCATCAGTGTCAGAGCAGGCTGATATTGGCCTTCCCTCTTTTATTAAAGTGTTTTAACAAAATTGTTGCTGCTAATACTGTACTTTGACTTGGCCCCTGTCTGACTTTTTGTCATCAGCTTGGTCTGCATGTAGATGTGAAGAAAAAATGTGATCAAAAAGGCATGTGCAATAAAAATAAATAAATAATAATATTAAAAAAAATACAATTTTGGATTTTTCCCTCACCTGGTGACATTTCTCACTAGGACAGAGAGGGTGAGGTCAGAGGACACAGCAATAAAATCTGGCACGGCTTCTAATACTTCACCATTTAACCCAACAGAAAAAAATGGCTTTAAATATAATTTAAGGAATCAGGAAAAATATTAAAAAAAAAAGATTATTAAGGAGACCTGGTAAATACGCATTGGTTAGAGAAAAATAAAAATAAAAATCGCAGGTGAGTCAAAGTAACTTGCTTTTTTGTTTTGGCCGAAACAAAATAATTCAATTTTTAAAGCCGTGTTATTAAACCTGCTCTCCCCTGTGGGATATAAAACGCCTCCCTCTTATCCAGATAGAGAAGGGCAGGTGTCCTGTAGTTCATCAGTGAAGAACTCCAACAGGACTGACAACACTGCCTGAGATTTTAGTGCAGCAGTGGCACTGCATTGTCAGCTTAAACAGAAGGAGTTAGGAATACAGTGAATTTTTTTGTATGAATCCTAAGCGTATTGACAGAAGTATACATAAAAAAAAAAAAACCCACACAGGACAATAGAGGAATGGACAGCACTTCAAACCAAACAGTGTGTATACATAATGCATTACTTGTATAAGGTGTAAGCAACTTAAAACTTTACTTTACAGTAAACTCAGTATAGTGCTATATAAGAAGGCTATACAAAGAGTAGTGAAGATAAGCAAACCATTCAGAGACCTGATTTCTCATGAAAATAAAAGGGGGAGGTATACAGTGATTTTCAGGCAGGATCAACAGGTACACTTTCTGTACAGGTCCCCAAAATGTGCTGTCCTTGGATCCCTGCTTTACAGTATCTACACTTCCACCCTAGCATAGTATACGACCTCCAATGGCTTCCAATATCATCTCTATGCTGACACCCAAATCTATCTCTACTCCTCAGCACACCCCTTCAGTCTCCTCATACATTACTAATTTACGGACATAGTGTGGAGGTCCCACAACTTCTTCAAACTAAGTCTTTCCAAAACAGAACTGCTAATCCCTTCCTCCTCCATCAAGATCACAGTCATCAGTCCATCCCCATGCCAGGGTGCAACGTGTAATCCTGGACTGTGACTTCACCTTTCATTCCCACATCCACAGCCAAATCTTGCCTTCTTATGCTCCAACATCTCCAAAAGATCCCCCTTCTTAACCAATGACACCACAAGACCTCCTGCTCTCTACCTCCCTCGTCACCTCCTATGCTCGTCTCCAGGACTTCCCCAGAGTCCCATCCTCTGGAAGACTCTACTCCAACCTCTCCACCTTACTCTGTCCACCTTTACGTGATCCCTACGAATTCATCTCTTCAGGGTAGCCTATTCCACCTCTAACACACACGTGAACTTTTACTTTCTCCATTAGTTAATCCCCTCACTTATTACATTGTGCATCACTTGCTCCTTCCTTTTAGATTGCAAGTTCTCAAGTGCAGGGCCCTCCTAATATTTTTACTGAAGTTATATTGTAACAGTACCATTTCCCTTTAATTTTTAAAGCACTGCACAGAATGTTGGCACTATATAAAGCCTGTATATTTGTATTACTTTATTTTGTATTATTATGCATTTATTCTATATTATGCATTTTATTTTGTGTTATTGCGTATTTTGGTATTATGTCTTGTATTATTATTATTATTATAATCTGACTTAATGCTAATTCGCAATAGGCAAGATAGTCTTAGAAGTTGTGTTAACACCTGTATAGTTGGCAGCAAAAAATTTACATCAAACATACATACAAAACACATCCTTTGAAGATACCGCCATGTTTACACAGATTAATGGATTATTAGCAGGTTTTTTTTTATATTTGTTTTAGTTGTCAGGACCTCCACAAGATTTGTGGGTTTCCATAGTCAATCCAACAAAGGGTTTACCCTCACCCAGATCTTTGCATTTCAACGGCTGTTGTCCCCGTCGCAAAATAAAACAATCACCCGACAATGGGCCCCCGCTCTCTACATGTGTGTGAACATGCCTGCGTGTTGTTTCAAGGGTTCCTGCAGCGTGTTTGGAAACTCCACTAAGATCTGTACATAGGACAGTTCACAAAAGTGATTGCATGTCTGGAAGAAGGCAGCAAAAGCAAAGTTTACACTGCGAAAATACTGTGTGTGGGAAACACAAGAGCCAAGTGTATGCAAAGCAAAAATAGTCAGACAGCACTCGCTCAGTTAACCCTTTCCTCCGTTACAACTGGCAGAAAAGAGGATACATGTACGTTGCTGACAATCCGTGGCACTTAAAGGCAATGTAAACTGGTTTTGTATACATTCTTTCATTTAAATATATACTTTTTTTTTTTATACAAGTCCGTAAATCAAAAAAATGCCACATGAATTTTCCTTGTTTTAGTCCCTAAATTAAGAATGTTGCATATGAATTCTGCTTGTTCGGATACTCTTCAGTTCCTCAAAAAAAAAAAAAAAGTTAAATTGCATTTATTTTAATTAACCTGTTAACCACCGGTTTATTTCCCTGTGCAGCAAGGCTCAGACTGAGGAAGGGGAACACTAGGGCCAATCAGCTGTGCTGCATGTGCTGACAAGGAAGGTGCTGTGCTGATAGGAGAGGAGAGCTGAGGGAGGAGCGCATCAGTCTGCTACTGTTCTTTAAATTACTATTCACAGCCTGGGAGGGAGGGGCAGGGCGCTGACCAAGGTGTATGGCTTAAAGGGTATCTCTGGTCAAACTAAAAAGTTCTATCCCACTCCTAATAACCATATGCATCAACTCAACGTCTGAACAATGCAACATTATCACTGATTGCTGGAAGCAATGCATGATGTAGTCTTGAGAAATGGAGATTGCATCACATCAAGCAGCAGGGAAAGAGATGCAACGCACACTGGGAATCCAGGAAAGTGATGAACAGATGGAAGGCAGCACTCACTACATAAAAGGGATTTTTTTCAAGTAAGCTTTGATTGCATTATCAAAAACAACTCTAGTATCTATTCCTATTACAATGCTGATGTTATAAGAGGAGAGGATATGCTGGGACTTTACATCTCCTTTAAATGTAGGGTAGAAAAGTCAGGTCACCAACCTGGCTGGCAGAGATGTTTAAATCTTCATACTCGATAGGTCTCCTATTGGACATTATTGAGTAAAGAGTAGTGTCTCGTCCTTACTTAGGCGGCTCCATCATGGCTTTCAATCACAGACATGCTGTGTGAAAGGAAATACCTTTGTAACCATATAGTGCTCTGGGAATCCTTTGTTGTGTATTAAATGTTTATTTGTAAACCAAAGATTCTGTATATACATTCATAGTTTGCCATGAAGAGTATTAGTCAGGTTTTTGCCAAGCTTCTCATCCATGATTATCTTTAGCCAAACTGTGCTGCTTAAATGTTTGCAAGTATGGTTGTATCTGAAGGATACAGAAATTTGTGCATGTTAGAAAAATGCACAAATTGCATAGGCAGAAGATGACTATATAATGACCCGTTCTGGACAAAATTCCATTAACCAGGTAGCCAATTCAGTAAAAAGAAAACAAAACTGGAACTAGTACCATTAAGACCTTGTCATTGTCAGAAGATGCACTTAACCCCTGCATACATAGATACAGTGTTTGCCCCTCGATTGGACTGACTTGGTCCTGAATTATACATTTGTTTACTCCCCGAGAAGGATTTGGTCTAAAATGGCCCAATAAGAAGTGAACAGCATGCTCATGTGTTAGCGAAGAACATACTGATAGGAGGAGAAAGTGTAACAGATGAGCGCATAGATCTCCCACTTCTCCCTTAACTGTGCAATTACAGGTTGAGGGAGTGAGAAGAACAAAGTTTTACTAAGGTTCAGCAGAGAAAAATCAGGTCTCCTGCCCTGCCAGACTGCCGGACAGGGCTGTGTAAATCTCAGTACTGGATAAGACAGAAATGCAATTCAGTAGATGGCTCTATCATATGTACTTCATCTGTGCATTTAGTAGTTGGCCTGGAGTTCGGCACCAGTCTTGCATGCTGCTGGTATCCCAGAGGTTTGTACAGGATGCCCCCGGCTTGTGGTTTGTAAGAGGAAACGTTGAGTTAATCTCAGTTGAGCATGTCACAGACAGAGAAATTAAACAATACTGTTTAAACAAGTTATATACCTTTCCAACACATGACAATAGAGCTGCAGCTAACGATTATTTTCAAAATCGATTAGTTAGCCGATTATTAAATTCGATTAATCGGTTAATCGGATAATAAAATAAATGTTAAAAAATGGCTCCAGTGATGGGACTACTAGTTTGTATTGAGATTGCAGTCCATCACAGGAGCAAGCTTGGAGCAGTGGACGTAAAAAAGAAAAAAAAGTGTGGTGTGCAATATAGTGAAGTAAGCAAAATCTTCATTTTGCTGCTCTTATTTATTTTTTTAATCACACCGCTGGCCATATAGCCTTAAAGTGCAACTCCGCTTTAAAAAATAAAATAAACAAAAAACAAAGTTGGGAGCAGTTAGGTACTTTATTGCATGCCGAGTTTCTGCTGCAATAAAACAAACTTACCTGCCTGTATACATAGCTCAATGTACATTCTAGGAACACCTCTATGCCAGAATAACTGAACTCCCTTTCATGAGCATGGGAGTTCATTCATCCCCAGCTAGCCAATCAAAACACCCAAGGACCCAGACCCTGGAAGATGGG